TGCAGATGTTAGCGCAGGACTAATCTTCCTCAAAAAAATAAACAAATAAAATAAATTCTGAATTCCTTAACTCCAGGGCACACCAAAGACCTTTTGTGAACTGGTTCCTGCTTACCTTCCCAGTCCCATCTTGGGCACAGTCAACCTCAGGGAATCTCTCATTCCCTCCACCCTCACTCCTCAGCTCCACCAGGGCCTGTACCATTCCTATTTTATTCACTGCTGTACCCCAAGCAGAAAGCCTGACACACAGAAGGCCTCAAAAATATGCTGATTTAGTGGGTAAAAAGTTCTCACGCTTTTCATGTACACAGCATAGATACGCATACAGTACACAAAAAGGCATGGACTATATAGACAGCATCAAAATTACACGGAGAGGACAATCAGGAAAATGATATCTAAAAAAGCTCCGGGGGGTGGGCGACCATTGCAAAAAGGTTGATAAGTACCCTATTAGGATTTTTGAATCAGAGTTGGAAGCTCAAGCGCAGGCAATATAAAAACCGGCAACACATCTATTTGAACGTTTCCATTTCACCTCAAACTCACAGATAAAACCGAACCCAGCATGTCCCCACCTAGTGAGAAACAAACAATCAGAAAAACAAAACGTTTTCTTTCAACGTCTCTACCTTTGATTACCAGTGGTCCCCAAACTCCCGGTCACTGAACTCAAAGGCCTAGTCCTGCAGTCAGGAAACGTCGGCCCTGGACTCGCGGTCGTCAACTGGCGGGTGTGTGACCTTGAGGAGACCGCCTTCATCTCCCCAACCGCTCAGGAGCCTAATCCGAGACCCCAGGTCTGGCAACGAGGACTCGGCGCAGAAGGAGAACGAAGGTATACGGGCACAGGCACGGGTAAGACAAAAGCCAAGCCCCCAGAAACGGCTACCGCGGGCTCCAGGCGCTGAACTCTCCCCTTCGCCCTCGCCGGGTCAAAGAGTGGAAAGCGGCATTCACCCAGCTCCGGTTCGGCTCTCAAGCTTTTTAAGACCCAGCTTAACCTTCCGGCGCCTGCCCACGGGCGCGCCGGGGAGGTGCGGGCGCCCGCGGGGCGGGGGCGCGGCCTCGGCGGTCACGGGTTCCGCCGCCACCGGAAGCCGAGGCTCCAACAAGCTCGGCCCGCCGGGCGCTCCCCCGGCCGGCCCCGGCGCTCCCCCGGCCGGCCCCACCGTCCCCCGCGCCGTCCCGGCCCACAGGCGGCCCCGCCACGCGGTTTGGGCGGACTCGCAGGCCCACGGGGGCGGGGCGGGGCGCGAGCACACAAAGGAGGCGGCGCCGGAGGGGAACAAAAACCTTGCCCAGGGCTCCCTCGAACGGCCCGCACCGGCCGCGCCCCGGGCCGCTCCGCCCGACTCTCCGGGTGACCTTGGCTCGTCCCTCCCCACCCCAGCCTCAGTTTCCCCAGCGAAGCCACGGACGAGGCGCCGCGGCCTCCGCCCGCCGGGCAGGCGAGAGAGGGCGAGGCCTGCCGCCCCCGGCAGGGCTCGTGCACCCGCGCGGACGGCGGGGCGGGCGAGCGAGCTGGCCCTCGCTCCCAGGAGAGGCCCGGCGGGCGGCGGGGCGCGAGCCAGGGCGGCGGCGCCAAGGCGGCTCGCTGGGCCGCGGCTCCAAGGCCTCTGCAGGCCGCGAGCCGCCCGAACCGCGCATCTTCCCGGCCCCGGCCTGCCGCTTCTCCCCCGCAGCCCGGCCTACCTGGAGCTGGCCTGGCCCAGCAGGCTCCGCCACCGACGCGCCGGAGCGCGGAAGCACCTTCGGAAGCCGCCGAGAAGCCTCCCGCAAGACGCCGCCGCCTCGACAGCGACCCACTTCCGCTCCGGAGGCCTTGGCTCCGCCCCCCGCGCATCCCCATTGGCCGCCGCTGCCGCGGTCTACCAGTCGAGGAGGCATATTTTCAATCCTATTGGATAAGAAAACCATCTGTTACCACTTTGAAACGGGCCTCCTTCCGGCCTCGCCCACGCTCGCGAGCTCAGGCTTCCCCTTTCCCGCGAGAGACGCGGCTGGCGCCCCTCCGCCCGCAAGGCCTCTCGGGAGTTGTGGTCTGTGGACTGACGGCTGCTCTGGTCTCTGGCTTCCTTGCTCTTGGCGCGACACGCCCGGCCGCCTGCGCGGAGCCGGACGTTAGTCCAGGCCAGCGTTCGGCGGCCCGCATACCAGGCCTCTCTGGGCCTCAGCTTCCTCGCTGTTGGTGAGGCCTTTGTGAGCAGTGTTCCCGGGGTCTCCACCACCGGCCGGAAACCGGGCCTGGATCTGCAGCTCCTGCAGGACGCCCGCAGCGTGCCAGGCCCTGGGCCGGCGTCTGGTCCCCATGATCCCCGACTCTCCCAGGCTGGTGGTGGAGACAGGAGGGAGGCACAACCCGGCCTAGCTGCGGGAACCCTGGGGAGGCACTCAACCAGGACGTCTGGGAGGGCTCCCTCGAGGAAGAGACCTTGGAGCTGAGAACTCGAGGGACCAGAAGGGAGGAGGGAGTTCCAAGAAGAGGGAGCCTGGGTGGGGGAAGATGGACTGGCATGTCCAGGTAACTGAAGGCTGCCCAGTGTGCCAGGAGCACAGAGGTGGGGAGCGGCGGGGGCGGGGGGAGTCAGATCTTGGAGGGCTCAGATTCCAGGTTAAAGAGTCTGGATTATCCCTTGGGCAATGGGTGTCAGGAAAGGAAGGACTGAACCCGTGGAGGAGCACTGTTGCCCAGGTCCGGTCCTGGGAAAGGGGCCATAGACCAGGCAGAGGCCTGGCAAAGGCCAGGGGCATCTAGTGCAACTCCAAGGGTCAGAGAATGCAGGCCATGGATCTCTCCTGTCTGAGTTTGAATCCCAGCTCCATTGTTTAAGCAAGTCTGACCAGTTCCCTCGCCTGTTACGTGGGGGTAATAACAGTACCTACCTCAGAGGAAGAAGGTGTGGAGTTGGAGGACTCAACGCAGCACAGCACAGGTGCATGCCAGCCCCTGGGTGGGGGTTACAGACCGGCATCTGATTAGAGAATTGTGTGGTGGGGTTCTTGAGTTCAACTGCCAGAGCTAGACTTGGGAATGGATTTGGCAACCAGGAAAGAGAGCCCAGCTAGTCCCTCTTGTTCTGAAAATACCCAGATCTCAGGCCATGGCCATCATCTCTGGTCCCTAGGCACTCTCAGGCAGTAAGGAGGTCACCCCGGAAGCCTTGGGATGGGCTGTTTCCTAAGAGGGGGGTCTTTACCCAGAAGATTGCGTCATATATGCAAATGACTAAGCAGATCAAAACCAGTGCATTAATGTTTTTGTGTTGAGTTTATGGAGCAGCCTCTGTGTTTATTTTATGTAATTGTAAGGGAATTTGGCATGGTAGAGCATCAGATAAATCTGATTCCAGTGTAAAATATATGGTTGAGTATTTGATTTTGATAGTGATTTTAAGTTGGAAGACAAGATTTTTCAAAGTTTGTGATCATAATTGGAATACTAAAGAGAATTTACATGTTTAAGAGAAATGTAAACATTTAATATATCTATAGGAATTTTAAAATACTTGGCAGGGCAGCCAACTGAAATGCTAAAAAATAAAAGTAGACATTCCATGTATAAATGCACTTTATTTTTTTATCTTAAAAATGAATTATTTTTATTTAAATATATTGGTTAGTGTTCAAGTCAAAATAGGTATTTAAATAATCTGGATAATTCAAGTTAAAAACATTAATTTCATAATAGAACTATTTAAAGGAAAAACAAAAACATGATGCAAACATTCATCAACTGAAATTAGTTTTCTCAAGATATCACATTCTGTTTAGGGGAGGATTTTAGTTTTGAATTTAAGCAAAAAGCTATAGCCACATATAGTGAATATTAAAACTAAATTCAACTAATTGAAACCCTATAAGAATCAGTGTTCACTTTGAATGAAAATTACTTTTATCACACAAGTATCTCAATTTTAAATTCTCAGCACAACCAAACCTTACCTATACAGAAAAGATAAATGATAGATAGATAGATAGGTGACAAATTTCACCAGACTTCTATAAAGGCACTTTAAAATGTTTAAGGGAATTTCAGCTTATAGATGGGACCATATGTGATGAATCAAAACGATGGTTAAAAATGACCAGATTTAGGGGCCAGCCCAGTGGTACAGTGGTTAAGTTTGCATGCTCCACTTTGGGGGCCTGGGATTCGTGGGTTCAGATCCTGGTAGTGCACCTACACACCACTCATCAAGCCATGCTGTGGCAGCATCCCACATACAAAAATGGAGGAAGATTGGCACAGATGTTAGCTCAGGAACAATCTTCCTCACCAAAAAAAAAAAAAAAAAGAGAGAGAAATGATGATTGAAAAAAAAATGACCAGATTTATAAATAAGATTAGTAATTTGAATTTCGCAGCCTAAGGAAAAGCTAGAGTTTTTTATTTGTAACTTGAATACATTAAAGAGGTAGTGTTGAAAAGCAAAGTTATGACAAATACCACTTTCATGTTCAAAACTACCCTGAAGGCCTCTCCAAACCTCACTTGACCCTGAACTTGTGGTGTGAGCAATCCTGGCTCCCTCACAAATAGTGCCTCCATCCCGCCCTGAACATCCCCAGCTTAGAGAAAAGTCTGGCACCTCAAAGCTTCCTCAATGCTACACAGCTAAATACAGAATCCTGAGTCTCACACCAAAACCTGAATCTCTGTAGATGAGGCCTGAGAATCTGCTTTTTAACTCTCTCCAAAGAAAGAACCCCTGCCCAAGTGAGTTTCAGATCCTGTCAAGCAGGGTCTTCTGGCTGAACTTATGCAGGAAATACACTTACGTGGAATGTCAATTCTCCAGGTGGTCCAGAGAGCTTTCTCAGCATCAGCTGGACCTTATCTCCCATGGCTGGTCTTTCTTCCAGGGGCAACTCGATTCTCTTTCAAAGGGCTCAGGCAGGGAGGGGGAGGCAGGGATCCATAGTGTGAATGAAGGCCCTCAGCTCTTGAGGGTATGTCAGTTAGCTCTTGCTTTAGAACAAAGCTCAAAGCTCAGTGCTTTAAACAAATAGGCATTTATTGTTGCTCATGAATCTACAAGTTAGAGGTGGGGGGTCTGGTCCTGGCCAGCCTCACATGTTGGCGTCCGCTGGTTTGTAGGGGGGTCGAGGATGGCCTCCACTGGGACAAGTGGCTCTCCTCCACATGGTGTCTCATCCTAGCAGGATCCCCTGGACGTGTTTATGTGGGGTCTGGGCACCATGCCAGAGAACAAGAGGGAGCTCTGAGGCCTCTTGAGGCCCAGGCTCTGATCGGGCACACAGCCACTTCTGCTGCACCCTGTTGGCCAAAGCAGGTCAGCGCAAACTGAAGGGCTGGGGGAAACAGTCTCCCTCTCTTGATGGGAGGTCACAAGGCAAGGAACATGGATACGAGGAGACATTTTGCCATCAGTCTACCACAGAAGGCCTGCCCTCAGGCCACAACCTCAGGGGATGGCCAAGGTCTGCTCCCACCCAGGTTTGCATGGAGCAGAAGCCCCAGGTGTTCTCACAGCAGCCCTGAGCAGCTCCCCAGTCCAAGAGGGTAGGTAGGGACCTGTGAACTGCCAACCAGCATTGTTGCCAAAAGCACCCTAAGTTTATTGGGCCATCACTTCTCCCCTCTGTTCAGAGGCCTGTCTGATAGGTGAAAGGTAATTCTCTCCTCCTGCTACAGTGCTTGCTTGGGGACCCATGCAGACCTTCCCCCCTGCAGGAACTGGCTGCATGTTCAATTCAGGCCAGTGAGACTGGAGATGTTCACATAAGGCTTCCAGGATAGAGTGGTTTCCTTCCGAAGGGAGCTGCCAGGGAGAGATGGCCCTTCTTCCTCTGGATGTTGTGAAGGTGGAACTGCTACCAGCTTGGAGGCAGAGTTCCTGGATCAGGCATGTCCTGAAGTCCACCCTACCTTTGGATTACCAGTTATGGGAGCTAATAATTCCCCTTTTGAAACTCTCAGAGCTCCTGAGGGACTCTCTCACTGGACAGGTCACCATCAATGTTCTTCCCTCTACATCAAATGAAATGGATTTGAATCATATAACATAGGATATAAAAAATGTTTATTTTTTTAATGAAATTTAATCTGTTCCCAGTTCTAATTTGATAGGGAGGTGGGAAATTCCTCTCTTTACAAGCCCAGGTTGTGGGAAAGTCCTGGGGTTCTGACATGACTCAGAATTTTGGGAGAGAACTTTGGTCTTTAGTCTGTTCTCATTGTGAGATGTCCACCTTCCTGGTCTAAATGTGCCGTGGGGTTCTCCTTGGAGGGAGGGAGGATGTGGCTGTGGGGGATCTCTCTCCTGGATATCTATCCACCTGGCAGTTTCCAGCCCCTCCCTTACTGCCCCTCACCACATGGGCTTGCCCATACTCTCCTTCCCAGGAGCTGCAGCACACTGCTTGGTTCCTCAGGCTGCGTTTCACCGGCTGGATTTCTCTAAGCCAGCCTGTCCTCCAGGCTACACCCTCTCCAGCCTGGTCCTGGGTCCGAGGACCCAGGAGAATGAATCTGTCCTGGTCCCCACCCTGGGCGACCTCGTGCCCAGTGGCCCCAATCTTGTTCCTTCAATGATGCTGGAGAAGTTGGGACATGCTCTAAAGCCACCCAGGCTTAGATTCGATCCCATTGGTGCCCGGTTTCGGTGCCCCCTCTTGGGGCAGATCACTTCACCTCTTTGAGCACCAATGGCCTCAGCAGAATGGTGGCGGGGGACAGTTCCTACATCCCCGCCCTCCATCGCGGTGAGGTTTACGTGAGACAAGGCATGAGAAGGGCCGGTTCCTAGAGGCTCAAGAATCCTAGTCCCTTCGACCAAACGCACACCCACAATCACACGCGCAGTCTTGGGCGTCCCCAGGTTAAGCCACCGGACTCCAGGCAGAGAGTGGGGATTCCAGGTTTCCACGTGCAGAGGGGGCTCTGGGAGGTCCGAAGAGGGGGCACCGGGAATGCCTTGTGCTGGGCCGGAGGTAAGGGCCAGAACCTGGGTTAGGGTGGCCAGATTTAAAATATAAACAAAAACATAGATAAATTTGAACTCCAGATAAAGAGTGGATACTTTTTTTAGCATAAGTTTGTCCCACGCAGTAACTGGGCGTCCTATATTTCATCAGGCAACCCTGCTCTGGATAGGTGGAGACTGGGGCTGGGTGGGGCGTGAAGCAGGGGTGCGGAGGCAGCGAGCGGCGGGTTGGGGTGAGGATAGAACCTGGACGCGGGGGGTGGGGGAGTAGGCCGGGGACGGGGAGAGAGGAGGAACGGAGAGGAACCGGTGGCCCGGGAAGAGGAGGCGCACACCGCCGGCCTCACGCTTTATTTGGGCGGGGTCGCGGGGTCTGGGGCGCGCCCGCCCGGCTCAGGCGGCCTCCAGGCGGCGCGCGGGCCCGCAGGCCGAGCCTTCCTGCTGCAGCGCCCGGAGTCTGCGCTCGCGGCTCCGCTCCAGCTCCAGCCAGTGCTGCGCCTCGAGCTGCGCCTGCGGGCCGGCGGGCGGGGAGGTCGAGGTTAGCAGGGCTGGGGCCTCCCCCACCCCCCGCGCAGCCTCCCCGCCCCTCCCTGCGGCCCGCACCCCGGCCCGACAAGGTGCCGGGAGTCACCCCCAGGGTCCGCTCCCCGCGGACACTGCGTCCCCTCGCCACACCCGACACCGCGCCCCTCCACGGCCTCCCCATTCGCCGCGCCCCGCCAACAGCATACCCGCCCCCAGCCTCACCCCCACCGCGGCTCACCCGCGGCTTGGGGCGCGCGGCCCGCGGCGCCGACACGTGCAGCAGGGCCGCCTGCTTGTGGCGCTCGGCCGCCTTCTCCTCGATCCTGCGCTGCAGCTCGAGCACGCGCTCGTCCTGGCAAGGCGCTCCCGGGCCCACCGACAGGGCTTTCTTCTCCTCCCACCTGGGCAGGCGACAGGGCGGCTTAGGAGGGGCCCCCAACCCCAGGTTAACGGAAGGGATTTAGGTGCGGGCGGAGAGGCCCTCCGAGGACGGCGCGGGTGAGGGTCCCCCGGCGCCTCTACCATTTTACGATTTGTACTTCCCATTTTGAGAAAGTATTCCATGTGTTTTAACTATGGTATCTGGGGTAAAAAAGTGAGAGCCTCCTTTTATCTCGCGCTCCCCCCGCCACTCTCTTGCCCAGAGGTAACCGCAGATAATATTGTTCTATCTTTACAAGTCTCTTCCCTACGAGGTAGGCCATTTTTCCTGCCCAAATGAGATGTCATTATACAGACTGTTCCCTGACGCCTTTGGCTGAGGTGCACGTCACAGCATCAGGGCATTCGCAGGTGCTGTTCCCTCGGCCACCATCGCTGCCTGGCTGACTCCAGCCCCCTGCCCACTAATCATGCTCCTGGTGAATTAATGCCATGGGGGCTGCACGCAGGGGGCTCCAGAAGCTCTGTTAGTGGGTTTGGACCCTTACAGTTTCCCCACCACCAACCAGACTGCAAATTTGGCTCTGTCAGGCTAAGCCCAGGGGCTGGGAACTGGTGAGGTCTCCCAGGTGCATGCCACATGAGGACCTGCTGCATGGCCAGCCAGCCCTCCCTGGGCAGCCCCAAGCAGTTGTCACAGGCCTCCTCTGAATTGTAACCAGAGAAGCAGTCACTCAGGACCAATAGCGATGGATTTTGTGAGTGTCCTTCTTTCCGTCCAGCCCACTATCCTACCCTACCCAAGCTATACTCAGGTACTTTCTCTGGAGCCCTGAACCGTACTATGCTATGACAGGGCTGGGTGCCACCTCCCCTGGGGCAGCCTTGCCCCCCGGATGGGACCAGGCCAAGGCCCAAAGGCCAGCCTGACCCCAGGGGTGACACCAATTTGTGCCTGACCAAGCTGCCACGAGACAGCCACATGGGGCTAGAAAAGTCACCACAGTGTCCCAAAAACAAACAAAAAGAGTGTGGGTGCATGCTCTCCATTAAAAGAGAGGAGAGACGCTTGACAATCGAACTCTGTGTGTGAACCTCAACTAGGTCGTGGTTTAAAAAGAGAAAAGAAAAGGGTACAGCAAACAATCTTTAAAAGGTTATAGCAAACAGTCTGGGGACCCCTGGAGACATGTGAATGCAGACAGGATATTTAGATGACACTGGAAATTTAAAATTTTTTAGTTGTGTCATTGTGCTGTGGTTATGTAGGACGATGTCCTTTTTTCAGAAGATGCACCCCAAAGATGCCAGTATTTCCAAATGGTTCTGCAGAGACAGATAAATAGCTAACTAGCAAGATGAAGCACATGATCAAAGGTCATACCCATGATCTAGATGCAAAATGATCGAATCTAGGTCATGGGTAAGCCACCACTGCACGATTTTTTCACCATTTCTGTATGCCTGAAAATTGTCTAATGAAATAATAGGGGTGGGGGAAGTTATTGTAAGGGAGCTGCCTGGGGAAGGAGGGTGGTGAGTGTTGCGAGGAGAACCTAGTCGCACAGGAGGGTGCAAAGGCAGGCTTGCTGCTCCCTGCTCCTGGGGTGCCCGCCCAGGCCAGGTACCAACCTCAAGGCTGCAGACCTGCCCATGGCTGCGCGGCACAGCGAGATCTGCTCCACTGTGTTCTGCAGCTCCTGGCTCTTGGCGCGTTTGCCCTGGATGATCTGGTCCCGCTTCTCTTCCTCCTCGCGCCGCTGGCTCTCCTTGAGCAGGGCCAGCCGCTCACGCAGCTCCACGATGGACATTTCTCCTTCCAGGCCATACCCGGGGATCTGCAGGGTGGGTGGAGGAGGCCTCTGGCTGGGAGCTAGGACCATGCCCAGCCTGCTTGGCCATCTCCTGTGCCCTGGCCTTTCCTCTGCACCAGTACTGGTGCCCTTCCTCTGTTCCACAGGCCTGGCCCCATGCCCAGGCTTTCCCTCCTTCTGCTCAGTAGTGCCTGTGTATCATGTCCTCCATCCAGCTTCTCCAGCCTGGGCCCCCCTTTACAGCTCTAGACCCATGTAGTGACTAGACATCTCAGCTGTGTGCCCTGCAGGCCCCTCCACTGTGGCAGGGCCCAAATGGACCTCACTACTGTCTCCCCAGGCAGGACCCTGGGGCCTGGGCAGAGAGCCCTTCAGACTCTGCATACCCACTGGGACCAGGCCAGGTCCCCCTCTGGCTCCCACGGCCCTCCCAGGCCTGCCCCCACTTCACCAGGTGCCAGCCTGGCCTCTCATCGTGCTTCTCACTCAGGCTTCCAGGCCCCGGTGCCCTCCTCTTGGCCTCCTGCTCAGCCTCTGGCCTTTGTGCACCTACACTCTCCCTACATTGCCCTTCCCACCTGGGCCTGGGGAGTCCCTGGACCTTGCTCACCACGCAGCTCCATGAAGCCTACCTTGCCCCACCCTCAAGGGGCCCTGGCCCCCTGCCCCCTTGGGTTACAGAGGTCTCCCCAACAGCACTGTGAACTCTTGGGCCAGACCCAGGCCTCTAGCACGGTGGGTGCAGGGTCCACAGCGGGGCATGGGTGGCCAGGTGGATCTCAGCTTGGGGCAAGATGGCTTTTGGCCTTGATGGGAGTTCTAGACACGCCCTTCCATGGCAATGCCAGGCACAGCAGGACACAGGGAGGCTCCCCGAGATCACTGGATGGGGCATGGGCTCCAGGGGCTGTGTCCTCACCTGGGTCAGGTCCACAAGCTTGCCCTTGCGTGTGGGCTGCATCTCCAGGGCTCGCAGCTGGGAGATGAGCTCACATCGTTGCCTCTGCTCCTCCTTGGCTGCCTCTGTGCTGCGCTGCAGCAGCTCCCGGCTCTCCTCTATCACCTCCTGAACTTGGGGACCAAGGAGGGTTCTTAGGGGGTCAGAGAGCAGCCTGGCAGGCACTGGGCAGGGGATACCTTCCCTGGAAGGGCCTGCCCGACCCCGGCCATCCCTTGAGGGCACTTCAGCCCTCACTGACCACAGTGGCTCACCCAGGGCAGGATACCAGCCCAGACCTGAATGGGGGGGAGCAGAGCTGGGCACTGCCTCATAGCACTTGACCCCCACCATACCTATCTGCTGTCGGACTTTCAGGAGCTTTGTCTGTGCCACCTTAACATTCTTCTGTGTCTCCAACACCTGCTCCACCAGCTCCTTCATGGACCTTTCCTCCTGGAGTCGCCTCTCAGCATACTGCTGCATCAGCTCAGCTGTCTGCTTGGACAACCAACCTGCCATGGTCAGAGCCGGAGGGGCCCTCTGGAGCAAGCCTGTGCCCCCTGGTCCTGCCCTAGCCCTGGGAGCAGCATGAGGCCTGGGTGGGACAGAACTGGCCCCTGACCCCGAATCACCCTGGAACCTGGATCTAAGCTCATCAGCTCCTAGTGGTCCCCTGGAGGTTGGGCCTAATGGGGAAGTTCCATGTCATGTCCTCCCTTCTTCCACTGTGGTCCTGGGGGGTGTGACCCAGAACCACACAGCCACCTCCCCAGATCTGACAATGAAGCTGAGGGGTATAGCCAAGAGAGACCTGGGGAAACCAAGTCAGAGCCACTGGGCTTGCCCTAAAGCCTATCCACCCCTGGACTCCAGTTAAGAGATAAGGGTACTCATTGCTTTGAAGCCGTGTGGAGCTGGGTATTCAGATACTGCCCAGGTCTGTGTATAGGACATGCCAGCCCCCAGGAAGCCCCAGAGTCCCTGTCACATGGGCTCCCCAGGGCACGTCCTGATGGTCATCCCACTCTCTTCTTTCTTGTGGTGCCTCAGAAATGCACAGCCCCAAGCAGGGCATGGTTTTGCTGCTTTGAACTGCACATAACTGGAATTGTCCTGCTGTCGCTGTTGCGTCTCCCCTCTTCTGCTCAGCGTCTCGTTTATTAGTTTCATGCACAATATCACCTGGATTATAGCTGGCTTATTTTTGTGGCTGTATATTTTGGGCAATATATCACAACTCTTTGATCCATTCTACCCTTGATGGACATTCAGGTTGTTTCCAGTTTGGGGCCATTGTGAACAATTCAGAATAATATTTTCAGCCCTCAAGATACTACAAAGGACAGCATGGGATTTATACCTCCTGTCACCAGCCCAGCACTGGCAGGGAGCTATCGGACTCCCAACCCCTGGAAGTTTATGCACCTGGGAGCTCATCTTCAACTGCATGGTAAGTGGAGAACCAGCCTGTGGGCAGCCTGGTCTCCAGGGTTAGAGGCTGGGCACAAAGTAATCCTTTCATAAAACAGTTTGCTGGTGTGTATCAAAAATGGCTCTTGACCATCCCTTTCAGTGCTGTGCAGTTTCATTCCAGATCCTAAGAAAAGGAACCAGGGCTCTTGGAGAAATGGCTATTTAGAGTTGGGGCAGGGAGGATGCAAGATGAGCCTGGAGCATTCTATAGTACCATAAAGTAAGGAGGTGCTCAAAACACAAAAGAATAGTGGGCATGTCAAAGGGATCCAGGAGCCAACCTGAAAGGGCTCCCACTGGCCAAGCTAGCAGCAAAATAAATAATGCCATATTGGGTTACAGCACAGTATGAAATAAATATGCATAAGTCCACACTGATATGAACAAGTGATTAAATCAGTGAATAAGTGGGGAAGAAGAGACAAGTTTCCCATGCAGAATTGCAAATAACCACCCGCCTCCTTGAGTGTGGGCTCCGTTTAGAGACCCCCTTCCAGAGAATACACTATGGAGAGGGGGATAACTGCAGTGGAGAGACCTGGCCAGGTGATGAATGTCAACATCCACGTGGTAAGTTTGTTGATGGCAGCACCCTGGATAGGACGTGATGAAAAGGGCACTTCACCTCTGTGGTCTCCCTCCCACACCCATCTAATCGTGAGAAGCACGCCAGACACATCCCAGTGGAGGGACGTTCTCAGATATCTGACCAGCATGCCTCAAACTATCAAGGTCATCAAGAACAAGGCAAGTCTGAGAAAATGTCACAGCCAAGAGGAGTCTGAGACATGACAACTAAATGTAATGTGATGTCCTGGATGGCATCCTTGTCAGAAAAAGGACATTAGTGGAAAAAGATGAAATCCGAATAGAGTGTGGAGTTTAGTTAAGAGTCATGTACCAGTTGTGACAAATATACCATGGTGGTATATAGTGGGTTGGTGTTCCCCCAAAATTCATGTCCACCTGGAACCTCAGAATATGATCTTATTTCCAACTAGGTAAGGATCCAATAAGTACTTAGGTAAAGATCTCGAGATGAAATCATCCTGGAGTTAGAGTGGGCCCTAAATCTAATGACAAGTGTCCATATAAGAAGAGGAGAGGACAGAGAGAAGACGGCCATGTGAAGATGGAGGCAGAGACTGACGTGAGGTTGCCACAAGCCCAGGAATTCCTGGGGTCATCTGGAGCTGGAAGAGGCGAGGAAGGATTCTCCCTCAGAGGCTTGGCAGAGAGCACGGCCAAGCCCACACCTTCACCTTGGGCTTTGGGCCTCCAGGACTGTGTTTTCAGCCCTCCAGCTTGCAGTGCTTTCTAGGGGGGCACTGCACCACAGACGTTACCAGCGGAGGAGGCTGGGTGGGGAGGATATGAGACCTCTCTTTGCAACTTTTCTGTGATTCTTAAAACTGTTTGAAAAGAAGAAGTTTATTTTAAAAAATGCTTTTGAAAACTTTGTAATAATAAGTTGGAGAAATGTGCTTGTATGGAAATATGAGGTGAAAAAAAGTGGGCTATCAAAACATATGAGGAGTCTTATTTCAAGTAGGGAAACTACGAGCAGAGAAAAAAAGATGCCTGGACTAGGATGTGTCCTGGGGCCCCCAGCTTGGCTGCACTGTCACCAGTGGGGCAGCAAGGAGACAGCTGGGAGCCTCGCTTGGTCTGGGAGCGAGGAAAAGAGGCAGCATCTCCCTGCTCTCTAAAAATGCAACTGGAACCAGGGAGGCAGCACGGGCCCGTGGAGAAGGCCCCAGCTTGGGAGAAGACACACAGGATTTTAAGTTCTGCCTCCACCCAGACCAGCTGTGTGACCTTGGGCAAATCATTTGCCTTCCTGGTTGCAGTGTCTTGGCTGGTAAGTGAAGCTGGTGGTGCCAACCTCCTCAGCCACCCTGAGCACAGCACACGCTCGCTCATGACAGAGGCATCCCCATCAGTCGCAGCATCAGCATCAGCGCAATGTCAAGGTTCAGCAGAGAAAAGGAACGAGCACACGAAGATGGAAAAGAAGCATAAAAGCCACAGCTGTGGGTGGGAGAGGCAAGCCTGCAGAAGGTCGGGGCCACCAGGGCAGTGAACGGCAGGGCAGCTAGCTGGCTGGCGTCCTGGGACCAACTCCTGGCTCTGTCTACTCTGACATAACCCTCAGAACAGTGATCCTGTTGGATTCCACTTACGGGCCAGGGGTGGCCTATTGTACCCTTGGGCCCTACGATGGAGGTCCGACTGTGTTTTCCAGACCTCTCCACCCTTCCCACAGCAAGCACCACTCGAACGGGGGCTGCTGGCTGACCTCGCATCAAGCAAGGGCTTCCAGTTACCAGCACGGGGACACCTTCAAAATTCAAGTGAGCTTGGAACACACCCAACAGCGCTGATGTGACCAAGCAAACAGAAACGCTGAGAGGGCCTCCAAACTAAACATCAGACTGAATACTTGGGTAAAACGTCCCGTGGAAAGGGTCACCCTCCCCACTAGAGTGGTATCAGAGGAGGCCTAGTGGAAAGTGAAGACTTTCACCAGCACCCAGTGGTACAGAGGCCTCTCCTGCCATGCTTACCACGTGACAGTGGAGGCCACATGGGGAGCAGTTACAAGGTACTCCAGTCAGGGAGATGTATGCAGGTCCAGCCAGAGCTCTTACCCACAGTAGTGAGGAGCTCCCACCCTCAGGGGTCAGCAGAGGCCAAGTGGGGAAGCTGGACTGCTAAGCCCACTTGGCAGTCATGTGGTGGTGTCCCTCTGACACTGCTCTTTCCCTGCCAGATAAGATCCACAATCTCATAATGTAACACCCAAAATGTCCAGGTTTCAATCCAAAATCACTCATCATACCAAAAGCCAGATGATCTCAAACAGAAAGAAGACAGACAATCAATAGATGCCAACACTGAGATGACAGAGATGTTAGATTTGACAGAGATTTTTAAAGAAGCCATCATAAAACTGCTTCAGCAAACAATTATGAACATTCTTGAGACAAATGAGAAAATAGTTTCTGCAAAGAAGTAAAGTCTTAGCAAAATAATAGGAGACATAAAGGAAAGCCAAATGGAAACTTTAGAACTGAAAACACAACAAATTAAATAAAAACTTCAATGGATGGCTTCACTAGCAGAATTGAGGGAAAGAGCAAAGAAACAGTGAACTTGAAGATAAAACAATAGAAATTACTGAATCTGAACAAGAGGGAGAAAATAGACTGAAAACACCAGCAGAACCTCAAAGACCTGTGGGGCTATAACAAAAGATCTAACATTCCTGTTGTCAGAGTCCCAGGAAAGGAGAAACAGGACAAGGTGGAACTGAAGAAGTATTTCAAAAAATAATGGCTAAAACTTCCCAAATTTGGCAAAAGACATAAATGTTCAAGAAGCTGAGTGAACCCCAAAGAAATCCATGCCAAGGCACGTTATAATTAAATTTCTGAAAACTAAAGGCAAAGAAAAACATCTTGAAAACAGCCAGAGAAAAATGACACCTTACTTATGAGGGAAAAACTACTTGAATGACAGTGGATTTCTCATCAGAAATCATGGAGGCCAGAAGGAAGTTACACAATATTTTTCAGATGTAGAAAGAAAAGAATAATTAACCCGGAATCCTATACCCAGCAAAAATATCCTTCAGAAAAGAAGGGGAAATAAAGATAATCTTAGATGAAGGAAAACTAAGTATTTGTTGTCAGCAAACCTACCCTGAAATAATGGCTAAAGAAAGTTCTCTAGACTTTCTTTTTAGGAAGAAAATGATAAGAGAAGGAATCTTGGAACATCAGGAAGGAAAAAAGAACATGGCAAGCAAAAATATGGATAAATACAATAGATTTTCCCTCTCCTCTGAGTCTCGTAAATTATGTTTAATGGTTGAAGCAAAAATTATAACACTGTGTGGTGTCACTCTAAATATGTGTAGAGGAAATATCTAAGACAATTCTATTATAAAATGGGGAGGGGCCAGCTCGGTGGCGTAGCAGTTGTGCTTCAGTGGCCTGGGGTTCACCGGTTTGGATCCC